CTGTCTGTCTTGGTCATTGTGTCCTTGGGCAAGACACTTTACCCTACTGGTGATGGCCAGAGGGGCTGCCCCAGGGCAGCTGTAGCTACAACTGTGGTTTGCCTCCACCAGTGTGTGAATGTGACAGTGAATGAATAGTGGAATTGTAAAGCGCTATATAAATGCAATCCCCACGTGCAAGCTCCATGCTTGCAGCCACTGCGATGCTTTCAATCAAAACAGGTGCAGCTTGATGAGGTAGAGCTGTATAGTCAAAATCTCTGCCGTTGGCCAAATTCATATCGTTTCTACCATATAACGTTTCTACCGCCCAGACTTGTAATAGCTAGGATTACTTCCTGAACAACAAAAGTAGCTCCAGTCCTATGATGAGCAGTGGAAGCAGTGAGTCTGTGAAAATGAAGACGGATTGCACAGGTCTGCAAAAAATATTTATATATTTTTTTCAGCTGCGTGGGATATTTTAGGTAAATTTGATGTTTGTAGGGTGCTGAATCCAAACATGATCTCCCTCCATCGCAAACAGTTTTTTTGCAAAACACAAAGAATTTACATTAAGGGCGTGTCCAAATTCATGGGCTGCTTCCTCCTGAGGCCGCATTTGTAGACCGATTACGTCACAGCGACGCGCCGAAGGCTGTCCAAATGCGTAGACTCCTCCGAATGCAGCCGACAAATGCGTCCTCATTTTCACCGCATTTGAAGGATGGGACAGGTGTGTCCTTCGTGGCCCACCATATCCCAGAATTCATAGCGTGGCCCAGCCAAACTCCAGTTTCCAACAATGGCGGCTGCTACTAAGTTTTATTAATCTTTCTGGGTCACAAAATAAACTTTTAACATATTGTCAGGCGAGAAAGTAGCTGTGTAAACATCAAATATCTGCTCGGTTTATCAAGATATCCCATATTTGCAAAAGTGCTTCGATGTTTTCGGAGGCGTCTGCTACCCACCAGCTCGATAGCTCGCCGGGAGCTCGAGGGTTACTGATGCGGCCGAGAACGGCACAGATCACCGTGGACTTTCGCTACTCAGGTTAAACGTGATATATAAAATAAAACTTTATTAATACCTCGGGTGGGTTCCTCCTTGGTTTTCACACAGCTGACTAAACATCAAACAGAAAACTGATTAAACAGAAGTATGAGACAGTCGAGAGTTTACTCCAGTGTCCTGTTATATTTTAGATAGCAAGGAGCAGACGGCCGAGTTTATTAAACTCCACTGAGACAGCGGCGACGCTAATCTGAAGGCGAGACCGTCCCATTTCACGGCCGTTTACTTCCGGCCTACCCGACCTTCTGAGGACCCGGCCCACGTAGACCGCGAAGGCCGGGTCCTCAGGAGGATGCAGCCCATGAATTTGGACACTGCTTAAAAAAGCACAACAGCGATGAAACAAGTCAATATTTTGTTACAATTAACTATGCATCATTTTTCTTATGATTGAACGAAGAAACAAAAAACGATTCGTTCATGATAGATGTAACACTACACGTTTACTCTTGTCTGTGAAAGCTTCTCTTTGATGCTCCCAACACGCTTCCCTTTCCTCCCATTTTCTATTTGTATTTCTCTGGAGTCTCGCTCTTAGAAATATTACATTAATGTAAGAAATCATTATGGGATATGGTTTTTAACTCAGATTTCAGTTTAAAAATTCTACGCTGAGTTAAACTAAAAACGTGAGTTTTGCAAGAAAACGCGACGAGAAGGAATTTTAAAAATATTTTTCCCGGTTTCAGCGAGTACAAATCTATAAGAAACACTCGCATGCAGTTTTTTGGTTGCAGACCTGTGTTACGTTTCATTGTTGAGGGAATTTCCCCAGTGGAAGAGGACTGTGATGATCGGCTGCTTTGTTTCTCTGTTTGCTGAATTCGGTTAGGCCTATTACCTGGTTTTGTTTGGTAAGGTGAAATATGTCGGGTACACACCAACTCAGGTTCATTGTTTGTACCTCTTTCCACCAGCAGAGAACAGAGTTGCTTGAGTGAGAGAAGATCTTGTAACTTAGTGCAGTTGATTTATTTTATTACAAAGATAAAAGTTTGCATTGAGGATGAGTTGATTTTAGTTTGTATATGCTGTTGGTTATAGTTCTTATTTAGTCCCATCTGGCTTCTTGACAGATATCTGATGAAAAACACGGCATTTTGTTTGTGCCAAGTGACATTTGGAAAGGACAGATTGAAAATGTGTCCAGTGGAAACTTGAGTACATTGTGCTAATTAATTGGATTAAATACAACCTTTCCTTTGAACCAACCACGTCCTTATGTGTAGACCAACACTTCACTAGACAGTACTTTGCATCCTCTACATTATATGCATCTGCGTCAGACATATGTATAATGCACTAGCTGGATACTCTTTTATACTCACTGTGGCATAATTCAGTGTCAACACCAACCTGTTCTTTGCATTCACAGGTTGTGTCTTGGATCATCACCATCTGGATATTTGGATCACTAACCATCTTCCTGCTGGCTCGTGTTCTTGGTGGGGAGGTAAATCCAGCTGACACCTGCAGCACTTGAAGTGAACTCTAACTTGTACATACAGAGGATAAGAAATGCTTTTGTTCTCCTGAGCAGGTTTCATACGGTCAGGTCCTTGGAGTGATTGGGTATTCCCTTCTTCCTCTCATCGTCATAGCCCCTCTGCTCTTAGTGATTGGAGGCTTCGAGGTGGTTTCTACACTAGTCAAAGTGAGTCGCTTTAATAAACAAGTGTCTTATGTTTTCATGTTGTTACAACCTGCCTCATAGGCTACAGCAAAATGAAAGATGTAAATAAAGAACATGATTATGACAGCAAATCGGTAGTGCTATGCATGTATGGGTATTTTGTAAAGATTGTAGGAAGCAGAGACGGCTCAAACACGTGCTGAGCTGGTCTAGTCTAGTAAGCTGGTGTTCAGATCATTGTAGAGAGTAAGTGAGAGGGCTACATAGGCTACATCTACACTGATCCGGATAAATTCGAAAACACTCTGCGACCACACTATCATTTTCAATCGTTTCCGAGAGTTCGTCCACACTGAAAACACTTACCTTCCTCTAGTGCGCATGCGTGAAACATAGGACAATTCGACCTGCGTCATTTCCTTCTGAGGAAAAGCACCGAGTTGTTCAAATAGACAATGAGGTGGAGTTGTTGCTGCGAGTAACACGAGTACAAAGTTGCTCTGAGGAAACATTGCGTCTTCTGGAGCATGTACAAACTGATATTAGAATCAGAATTAATCTTCAATAGGGCTGCTGTGTAATGCCGTCCGCCATCTTAGTTGAATTGGTCACATGACTGCATCACATGACTAAAATGCGTTAGTTTTCGAGAGCCTCCGATTTAGCTTTGAAGAGCGTTTTCCCTGACCAACAACGCCGTCTCAGTGTGGACGAAACAGTCCAAAAACACGTTGGTGTGAACATGGAGACAGAGCTTCATAAACGTGACAGACACTGATGCGCCTATGACAGTTTCCTCATTTCTCCTCACGACAAGCGGATAGAAATGTATGAATAAAAAAAATAGAGAGCCTTGTTATTTCTGATGGTTTGAGTCCTCCATAGTCCCTGGTTCCAAATTCACTCCTTTACTCTAAAGGAAAATATCCGCTGCTTGGTTCATGCAGTATGCAAGAAAAGTCAGGGACACAAACTGGGTCAATTCTATCATGTCAGAGCAGGATGGCATTATTAGAGCATTGCTGTAATTGTGCACTCCAGCCAGTATGTTCTTGACAAGCTTGTCTTCTAATGAGTCTTTCATAACCCACAGCATGATAGAAAATTGTTAATAATTGTAGCTTTTAGATAAGCAATGAAGTTCTTTCACCCTGTGGCTGTTTGCTCTTAATGTTGAATGAATGTCTTCTCATCTTTCAGCTTTTTGGAGTTTTCTGGGCTGCATACAGTGCTGCTTCACTGCTTGTCGGAGATGAATTTAAAACAAAGAAGCCCCTTCTCATATATCCCATTTTCCTACTGTACATCTACTTCCTGTCACTATATACTGGAGTGTGATTGGATGACCTGGAGCTGTGGACCTTTTCATGGACAGTTACCCTGGAGCATGGGTGGGGGGGAAAAAACAAAAAACCTACAAAACCGGGATTTTTTTAAAACTCTGTTATTCTAGATGTTGGGGAAGTTGGGAATATATACTAATGTATATAGTTTTTCCCTTGTGTCTTTGGTCAATAAAGTGCGTATGCTTTTGCTGCTTAAACTTTGGTATGCAGACTTATCAATCACCAGTGCAATACAGATTCCAGAGCCCTGCGTAAACCTGTAGTTCTTGAGTCTAGAAATAAGTCCAGGCCTGGATATTAATGTCATACTTTTAAAAAGCTTAATCACACTGAGGAATATGGTGCCAAATATTTATGTATGTTTGTGCTGATCCTTATTGTTGTGCACTGTAGCTTTCTACCAGAAATGTTCATTTATGCTTTTCCCTTTTTACAGACATGTTAATTTATAGATTTCAGCAGTGGAAGCAGGTGGAATGGGTCAATCAGAAGGATATAAACCATTGTCTACTAAATGTGGTGCCTTGTTCTCTAAACCCTGAGTCTTTTTTTATACAGGACTATACTCGTTTGATCAATAATACAGTAAATTTGTAGAGTAATTTGTCTCTAAACCATCTGGTGTCTCATGACTCATCACTGCTTTACAGTAAACCCAACTTTGTCACACTTAACAGTCCTGTAATCTATACTGCAGCACTAGATTTGCCTACACATTTTACAATCATTTGCAAATGTAGGGTCAAACACACTAAGACAGTATTCTTATTCAGTGCTACTGTACTTACAATTGGGTTTCTAATGTTTGTAGAAAAGAAGAAAAAATGACAAAGCCAAGAGTCAATTATGTTACATCCCCACGAAGGTCTAAGTGGTGAGGAGACTAACATAAAACTGGAAAAAGGAATATAAGGAGGCTGTTGAGGTCAGTTTTTAAAAAGGTTTATTGCCAACATGTTATCAGAAGGAAGCATAGTTCATGGAGAGCCAAGGCCAACGCAAGAAAACAGCTCTAACTCACCCTAACTATAACCAGGCTTAACTAGGCCAGTGCTGGTTTAAAAATGACGTACCGTAAGTTTGGCAAATTTAAGTGGCAGAAACAACTGTAAATATGTGCTTATATGACTGGCTGGCAGCCAGATAATGACTGTATTGTATTGGTTTGGGACATGACATTAGAAGAATGCTGAGGCTCATCATCAGTAGGTTGTCAAAGAACTGAGGAATTAATCTCTCGTGGTGGCCCACTACGTAGCTCTTCAAATTACAAACGTCAAGGTGGTACTAGAGTAGTATTCAGGTAATTATAACTCTTAATATTCTTTAAAATGTAAGTGCAGCAGTTTAGGGTCATTAAGGATTGAGATAGAAATGTACTAAAAATGGTAAATGGCCTGTATTTGTATAGCGCTTTACACAACCACCCATTCACACACTAATGTACTTCTTTCCAATTGATGTAATGCCAAATCACAAAAATATTTTCCTCAAAGGGCTTTATATTGTAAGGTCAAGACCCTAAAATAATATTATTGGCGACAATGGGAAGGAAAAACTCCCTTTTAACAGGAAGAAACCTCCAGCAGAACCAGGCTCAGGGAGGGGCGGGGCCATCTGCTGTGATTGGTTGGGGTGAGGGAAGGGAGACAGGATAAAGACATGCTGTGGAAGAGAGACAGAGATTAATAACTAATGATTACATTCAGAGTGGTGTATAAACACATAGTGAGAGAAAAATAATACTTCTTACCTAAGAAGTAACTACACTCTAAAAAATATTCACGGTGTTTGTAGGTAGAACTTAACAAAAAAGCATTTTTCTACTTAAAAAAGTAAGTTGTCTACATGTACACGTTTCAGTGAGTTGACTAATCAATGTTATAAGTTAGTGCAACACAGAAATTAATAAACACCTCCTTAACTTAAATGTTTGAGTATATTGAACAAAATACTTTTGTCATCAATCAACAACAGAAAATATTAAGTTTGTGTAACATGTAAAAGTGAGTTTGAACATCCTTCATGTTTGAACTGCCCATAACTGGACCATAACGAAAAAATAAATTACAACTGCCATAAAAAAAGACGAAACGGAAAAAAACAGAGGTTGGCACCACTACCTGGTAAGTTTCTTGTTTTATACTCTTTTATAAATATGTACTAGTTACAGGAATTCACTGCGTAAGTTTAGTCTGACAATGGCAGCTACATGGTGTGAATTGACACTCTGTGTTATGCTAGTTGTTACTCTATAAAAGTATAAAAGAGCGTTTGTATTTTTTCCTGTTATTAATGAAATCTGTCACTCTGGTGGTTACTTTGGTTAGCCATAGGTGTGTATGAGACCATGCATACAGCAGAGGGTAACCCCGTAGCATATGTTCGTATCATCACAGGCGTAGCAGTTGTCTGCATTCTTATCACTTTGTGGGAGTAGAGGTGTGTTTCCCCTAGACTGTGTTCGGTGAGTTAACTAAGTATTGAATTTCAAAATAGATTAATTACAAGTTATATTTGTACACTTTAAATTTGATGGTTTTAATCATAGTTTAGCATAGTAAAGTTGCTAAAGTTAAAGTTGTTAGCTAGCTATCTTTTAGCTTGCAAACGTTCCTCGCAATTGTCAATTTTTCCACTTATACTTAAAGTTTGTCACTTGTCAGGGTGCATTTGGTTAGCTGATAGACCTTGCAGACAGCAAAGCATGTTCAATTTGAACCTGTATATGTTCAAATTAACCAGTCAGCAGCTGCCTGCATTTTTATCATGGTGTCAGAGTAAATTTGTGTTTCGACGGTCTTGGGTGAGGTAACTAATTACTGACAGAGTGAAATGTGGTGAATTTATGCCAGAGTATTTATGTGAGTAAAAGTATTTCTATCAAATGTATTGATATTTTAAGCGCAAATGTGAAATATGCCTGAGGTTAAAGTTAGTTGACCTAGCAAGAAAAAACTAAATTGTGTGTGTGCACATAAGACTTGCTTTCGTTACCTTCTGTAATTGTAAGCATAATGTGAAGTGTGGGATTGTAGCATGTCAACAGTGGTCTTCAAATAATTAAAAAGAAAATTCTCTCACACATTTGGATATGACACAATTTTTCCAATTTTAAATTACAGTCTGTAGATTTATTTATTTAGTTTTTGGATTCATCTTTTCAGTGTTTCATTGTAGTATTTTAGAGAAGGTTTTATACTTAAAATAACTTGTTAACTCAAAAGCCTTGGTAAGCCTTTGTAGTCTTTTATAGTCCTTAGAGCTCAACAAAAACTGTTTGAAATAGTCTCCAAATCTAGGTTACATTTACTTTCACTCACCTTAACCTACTGCTAGCAAAGGGTGCATTGAAAGCAGGGCAGTATGTAACAGATTAAATTCAAGTTATAAAAATTTAATTGTTTATTTGTTAAAAACAAAAATTAAATCAATAATTAGCAAAACGCTAGTCCTATGAATGTAATGTGTTTGACTTTTGGCCTAGTAAACTTTTTTATTCTCCAGAGTTCGGTGGAAACAAGAAGAGAGGTCGCAATCCGTTGCCTGGTGGTGTATTTGAAAGAGAAAGAGGAGAACAGGAGACTGTTGGTCATCTTAAGCCTGCTGGGTCTCCAAATGATGCTGTCCCTCCTCGACTTTTAAAAGAGGTGTTACCTACAGTTGGTCCTTTGGTGCTTGAGCTGGTAAACCATAGTCTGATGTCAGGTGTTGTCCCTAAAGATTTTAAACATGCAGTAGTCAAACCCCTGATTAAA